GGAGCTCCTTACCCTTTCCACCACAAACAGCTTGCAGCTACCGTTCTTCTCACACGCCAAGTGAATCCCCAGTCTCCCGGCGGCGACTCTCGCATCTGTGTCCTGCCCTCTGTCAGGGTGGAGCCAACAAACCCCAGTCGCCAACGAATGTAGATGGGGGGGCATGGAAAGGGTTGATGAAGAGGAGGCTGAGGTACAGAGCATGGAGAGGGTGAGGATCATGTGGTTACAAGTAAAAAAATGAAAACTAGTTTAAAATAGAGGTTTTTGTGTCAACTTGCTCAGGGTTAGTGTGGTGATGTTGTGGTTCACCTGTGCAGTTGAGCCATTAAGGGCTGGTTTTTTTTGGTTTCTTTTTTTTTTTGTAGAAATATGTTTAAAATAATAGGCCAGGTTTCCACCCGTTTAAGCTTATTGAAAACAACACAATAAACCAAGTAAAGAATTAATGTCAAAGAAATGTGTCTTTGTTTTTCCTGTTATAGAATCTATTCATGATCAGCGACCTGTGGTTGGGGGGATAATGCAGGAGCAGGTTCAGCTTCAGATTCCAGGGTTCGAGCTGGTTGAACCTGTAGATATGCGTCACTGAAAGGGTCTGTAGTCACTTCGTTGTATGTTGTGATGAATCTTCTCCCAAGCTCTTGACCTTTAGTCTGGGATGGAAAAAAAAAATGATTGTTTAAAGTTAATAAGTTAGGAATTTACACTAATGGTCAGACATACACTGTAGCTTAGCTCAAAGACAGGAATTCAGGCCTACAGTATTCAGGGAACTGGGTTCTACCTTGAACAGCTTTTTGTCAGCCACGTGGTGAAGAAAAGATTCAGATCCTTTAGTAAGAAAAGTCCTCAGTTGAAAATATCAATTTAGTAAACGACATAATATTAACAAAAATGTACTTAAGCTAAGAAATCAATTCACATGACATGGCCCCTGTGACTGTTATTGGGTTGTTTCATTGTCATCGCACTGTGTACAGCTGAGCAGCATTTTACTGTGGTAGTATCTGTAAAGTGTACCATAAGTAGCAAAGAAATGGAAATAGTCCAGTGAAGGACAGTAGGTCTGTCAAATTATAGCACGATGCTTTGGAGGTTTTTTAATAAATAAGTAGTAGTATTTAAAGAAGTAAGTGTTAATAAGGAGACTTGTTGTATGCATGAGGTGAGACAGGACTTTGGTAACGTAGCAGTTGTGGCTGGACTGACATGTTGGTGCCCACTTCTGTTGGATTGATGACAAATTTGCCTTGGAGGCTGCAAACTTACATGGAAGTCAAAACTGTCAGACACAGCAGAGCTCTGTTCTTTTTAAAAAACATCTTTTAAAACCTTCTCATTTCAATTCAAAACCACACTAATAAAAACAAAAATATAACAGCCACTATTGGGCATTAATGTCAACACAAAAATGTGTAAAATTAAGAAAAATCAAGCGTGTTTACCTTCAGGTGTTGTGAGGGAATCATCTGATGGTTTTCTGACTCCCTCTGGCAGAGTATCACAGCAGTGAAGCTGAACTGAACTGAGGAGCCAGACTCAAGTGGGAATCTTACTGCTGTTGTTTTCAATCAAATTCTGTTTATTTCTATTGATATTTTTCATTCTATTCACTGTGGCAGCACACACAATTACTGCTGCTTCCTTTACATGTCTGTCCCATTATTTCTGCGATGTGCGAGCGAGGTGCTGTGCATTTAAACAGAAAGGCTGTGAATCAGCAGCAGCCTGTGGGGCAATGTGACATGGTAGAAACAGTCCAAACACTGACACAACTTGTAAAGCAGTATCACACCTTGCTACTTTTTTTTTTTCCTTTTTTCCTGTTAGACCCAAATGCATCATGTTTTTTTTGTAAATCTGACTGTCTAATATAAGCATTATAGTCTTCAAATGACAAAACCTGTTGCATAAAAATTGATAAACAGCAAATGGCTGTGTTGTGAATAAAGATACATCAATTATTATCTTAGTGCATGCAGACCCAAGAAACTGAGTTGCTTCTTGTTAAGTTTCTGCATCACCATTGAAGAAAATGCAGACACTGTGAGTGTCTGCCACAAGCAGGGACGTGGTGTAACAGCACCATCTATTAGTAAACAACAAAAGTGCAAAGAAGCTGCGAAAGAATGAACAATTTTCTCTGCCAGTAATAAGTGGACATATGAACAATTAGCATTTTTAAACCTACACTTTTGTTATGGAACTTCAATTATCTTTTGGGATCAGAGATTAATTTACAACCATGAATTAGTTTTCTGGCAAAATTAGCAGTATTTTTATTAAGAATGTCAAATGTAAACAAGTGTTACAAAGGTGCAAAGATTTGGAATGACAGTCAAATGAAAGTAATAGTTCCATTTCAGAATAACAGCTGTTAAACCACCACAATCTGGAATATTTCGACCACTCAATCAATCATTATCATTATCATTATGATAAGCATTATTAGCAATGATAATAGTAGTACATACTGGCCAGTACACGGTATTCTCATTGGCTGCTGCTGTTGAAAGTGTGCTGGTAGAAGACATTGGTGTTGGCTGCGTAGTCCATAGTTATCTTGGTGCCTACACTCTGAGCCCCAAGACTGGCGCCGCCGAGGGCCGAAGACTGCCGCAAGATCAGGAGGTTGTAGCCACGGAAACGGCCCTTGAACTTGTCAGATATGCCAATTTATCTAGGACCTCAGTGAACCCTAACAGAGACAGAGAAAGAGACACAAAAAATGAGGCTTCTTGCTGTACAATGGCTTCATCCAAACTTCCACTGCTGCACCTCGCTTTTCTGAGGGGCCCCAGGGACACTGACCTGGCTTCAAAAAATCCCAGTCCTCTCCAACATAAACCCTCACACAGGATGGGCAGCCGAGGTCGCCACTCAGCAGAGCTGTAAAGAGCGAAAAATTAAGAGATTTGAGAAATTCAAATGAGTGAAATCACAGCTATGTACTGCATGTGTGTACGTCTGGATGTTTACCTCTTGTGCTGCGGGTAACACTGCTTCGATGTGTTTTGCCAGGGCTTCCCTGCCTGAGTGAACACATACCCGACACAGAGCGTCCCCGGCCTCCGCGCCTTTAAACAAATAACACAGTTTTCAGTTTAATTTACTAATTAATATTTTACTCTCTTTAAACAAAATGAAGCAGGAAGGGATGCACCACCCACCTTCAGCTAGTTTCTTGCAGAAACCGGCAAGTGTGACTTCCGGAAGTTTCTGTAGAGGTCCGGCAGCATGCCCATCAGATCTGACACTGGGTGAATGCCATGTTTGTGAATGTGCTTCCCTCAGCGTCTCCCTACTCTAACTTGATTTTATTATATTCATAAATTGAAACATTTTTTAATAAGAGCTGTAAAGTGATGATTCAGTGACTTCTGTTGCAATCTGACCTGGAAAGTATTCCTCCAGTGGCTTTTCTGACATGGGTGATGTCATGAGGGGAGTGACCAGGTTGTCTTTGCATCAAACACCGTCTTCACCGCCAAATGAGCCATTCCAGAACCTGAAAGACACAACACCAATAAAAACTGTACATTTCTCGATTTTTAATGCGCAGTGTGTCTGTGTTTGCATTTGCGTATTGCCATGGTTACCCGATCCTTCATCACCCATCATGTGACCCCAGCCTCCACAGCCGATGTGTGAGCCATCAGGATTGACTAACTTGCAGTTAGAGCCGGTCCCTGATATCACTACTACACCTCCTACAAAGGAAAAAAAACAACGATGACTGCCTGGATCTCATTAAGCCATAAATTATATCACTTTTCTACAGCCACACCTTAAAGAGGGTAAAATATTCAACCCTTGCCCTGTTGTGACATGGTTAGGTCATGGTTTTCTACTGTTTCTTTCAAATGTAAATTTACATCTACAGTAAAATAGGTGCTAAACAAAACCTGATGTACATATTTACATGGTAAAATTTGTTGAAAATAAAAAGCATATGAGACTGAGATTCAATTCTGTGTAAACACAGCTAACACACACGTCTTTAGCACTTTTTAGTTTAAGTTTTGTACTGAGGCTTAATTACAATATAAAGCCAAAAAGAAAATGGCTAGTTACCATGATCGCTGGCGGTTGCCACGGCGCCAATGGCGTCAGTAGTGATGAAGTAGTGCTGGCTGAGACTGGGGAAGCGTTCCTTCATGAGAGCGATAAGTCTGTCAATGGCATCCTTTTGCTCCCCTCCACTCAGAGACATACCCTACACACACACACACACAAACACACACACACACACACACACACACACACACACACACACACACACACAGAAAATCAATGTTTATTTCTTTATTAATTACTTTCATTAGAGGTCAATAAAAAGCATTTGTGTGTCACGAGTGCAGCTGGACCAGTGAGTATAGTGGTGTTTGGAATCCAGTCCTGCCTCCACCTTGGCTCTCTGGACCTATGTCATTGATGGTTTCAATGCATTTATCCACCCCCACCAACTGTAATACACACAGACACACACAAAAAATCTATAATATAATAATTTAGTTTATGGGCATTTGAATTGAAACCAATTAAATAAAAAACACTGTAGCTAAATGTATCAGGCAGGTAGGAACCACCAAACTCCTCTTTTTTTACCCTTGTACCAGCCTTACATTTTTTGTGTCCTACATTTCTCCACTTGTCCAACACCAACTACCTCCATCCCTACTTCTGCTCACCCAGTGGTTGGAGGATGGTCCCTCTGTCTCTGCCAGGACACTTCATCTCCTGACACTAAAATGGCCTTGGAGTGGCTCCCTCCACTAGAGACAGGGGCAGAGGACAGAGGGGATGAGAAAAACAGAAAATCCATGCATACTGTTCATACCAGGGAGGCAATAAGAAAACGTGAAGGAAAACAGATATACATTTGCTGTGATATATAAACTCATGTGAGAGAACAAGGACACAGACACTCTTTATTTGAAGTGCAAAGAAAAAGCTTTAAAAAGACAAAATTTCACGTCTACATGAAAGAAATGCTGTAAGTTTAAACGATAGTGATCACGAGACACACACGCGCACATAACAAAAAGAAGCTTCCTGGTGTCCCGTCTGAACTGTCACATAGTATAATCGAAAGCTCAAAAGTATATTTGCTGTTCTCTATCACGTAATTTCTTATTGCCTCCCTGGTATGAAACAGTATGCATGGGGATTTCTTGTTTTTTCTCATCCCCTCTGTGCCCTGCCCCCCTGTCTCTAGTGGAGGGAGCCACCTCCAAGGCCATTTTAGTGTTCAGGAGATGGGAAGGTCCTGGCAGAGAAAGAAGGACCATCCTCCAAACCACTGGGTGAGCAGAAGTAGGGATGGAGGTCTAGTGGTGTTGGGACAAGTGGAGAAATGTTAGGACACCAAAAAATGTAAGGCTGGTACAAGGGTAAAAAAGAGGAGTTTGTGGCTTCCTTTACTGCCTGATACATTTAGCTTAACAGTGTTTTTATTTAATTGGTTTCAATTCAAAGCCCATAAACTAAATTATTATTATTATAGATTTTTGTTTTGTGTCTGTGTGTTATTACAGTTGGTGGGGTGGATAAATGCATTTTTAAACCATCATGACATGGGTCCAGAGAGCCAAGGTGGAGCAGGACTGGGATCCAAAACACACCACTGATACCTCACTGGTCAGCTGCACTCGTACCCACAAAATGCTTTTTTATTGACCCTAATAAAGTAATTAATAAAGAAATAAACATTGATTTATTCAAATCTGTCAATGGCATCCTTCTGCCCCCCCCCCCTCAGAGACATACCCCCCACACACAACACACACACACACACACACACACACACACACACACACACACACACAGAAAATCAATGTTTATTTCTTTATTAATTACTTTCATTAGAGGTCAATAAAAGCATTTGTGTGTCACGAGTGCAGCTGACCAGTGAGTATAGTGGTGTGTTTGGATCCAGTCCTGCCTCCACCTTGGCTCTCTGGACCATGTCATTGATGGTTTCAATGCATTTATCCACCCCCACCAACTGTATACACACAGACACACACAAAAAATCTATAATATAATAATTTAGTTTATGGGCATTTGAATTGAAACCAATTAAATAAAAACACTGTAGCTAAATGTATCAGGCAGGTAGGAACCACAAACTCCTCTTTTTTTACCCTTGTACCAGCCTTACATTTTTTGTGTCCTACATTTCTCCACTTGTCCAACACCAACTACCTCCATCCCTACTTCTGCTCACCCAGTGGTTGGAGGATGGTCCCTCTGTCTCTGCCAGGACCTTCCCATCTCCTGACACTAAAATGGCCTTGGAGTGGCTCCCTCCACTAGAGACAGGGGGGCAGAGGACAGAGGGGATGAGAAAAACAGAAATCCATGCATACTGTTCATACCAGGGAGGCAATAAGAAAACGTGAAGGAAAACAGATATACATTTGCTGTGATATATAAACTCATGTGAGAGAACAAGGACACAGACACTCTTTATTTTGAAGTGCAAAGAAAAAAGCTTTAAAAAGACAAAATTTCACGTCTACATGAAAGAAATGCTGCTAAGTTTAAACGGATAGTGATCACGAGACACACACGCGCACATAACAAAAAGAAGCTTCCTGGTGTCCCAGTCAGAGGGCTGTCAAAGATAAGAATCAAACTCCACTACTGGCTCTGCTAATACTCTACATTTCTGTATGGCAACCGCGAGAATACGAATAAAAGCATGCAACATGCACTAGCCTTAACTTATAACTAAACTAAAACAAATGTGAGAAAGTTTTATAGTATATTTTAACTCATTATCACCCTTCTACTCCGCCGAACACTGATGCCATGTCTCGGTTCCTGTTTAGGTCCAGTCAGTCCGGTCAGTGCGAAAATATCGCGAGAACACGCAAATTAGGTTTCCACCTGCAATGCAGACTGATAACCAGTAGATGGCAGACGTGTTTTGATTTGTATTTTCCTCACGGGGGCAGATATGTTGAAATCACCTACAATCTGATGCATCAGCAGAAGTGGTCACAAACGAAAAAGATTAGGAGCCACAATTTAATCTTCACAATGTATTTTATTAGTGTATCATATGTTTTTGAATGAAAATATTAAACCTAAAAGTAACCAGTAGCTATAGCAGTCAAAGAAAATGTAGAGTAATAAGCACAATTTTCTTTTGAAATGCAGTGTAGTGTAGAAGAAGACTGCAGTCAAAAATGAACATACTCAAGTAAAGTACAAGTAACACTAAACTGCACAAGTGAACAGTACTTGAGTAAATGTACCAAGTTACTTTCCACAACTGTATGTTAGTCACCAATGTTTTTTATGATGCTATCATGTGACAAAAATTAATAACAGGACAAGAAGAGACATTTTTAGTGTTGTGGCCAATTACAAACCCATTGTGAGTCTTGACTCATTGTCTAAAAATCCATACTCACTGTCAAGAACAACGCTGTTAGAGATCTAGCACCATCGGGTTCTGGGCTGAAAACAGGAACAACATTTTTAAGTGAACTGCCAGCAGGAGGCATCTGCAACACATTAATTTGGGGGCCAGCTTCTCTTGCCAACACAGGCTGCTTACAAAATACTATCATTCCTTGGCAACTCAAAAGTATTTCTGTAGTTGAAGTAGGCCTATATAGAACTACAAATAGTGAGTTCACAGAAATCTGTTGACATAAAGAATTATAACACTCTTCTACGAAGTTTTGAGTCCTGCTGTAAAGACCTACAGTTTATTTAGACTGCCAATATACTGTAATCATCACCTGTTGTTCCATCCATATATTAAGCATATATTTTACTAAAGTGCGTGTATCAGAGGTGAAACCATCAGAGAAGTTATACAAGAGTGAGGAGGTGGGAGGAGAGGAGCAGTTCGGTGCGCTCACCACGCGCTGCTCACTTCTCCTGCAGGGACAGCGCTGCATCAAGCGCCGTACAGTTACTACAATAACGGATGTACTCATTTCAAAATAAAAGTACATAATAGGCCACATTATATCAATATCTTTCTTTTACAACATATCCATCCTTAATTTGATGTTATGTATTTTTACTTTAGAACACTGAAAAGTAGGGTAGTAAGGTGAAGTAAAATAAATATAATTTTCTGATAATTTAACTTCCAATAGGCATTTTAGGGTGTCTTTTTAGATCAATACCACCCTAACCCCCAAATTTAATCCCAATAAGCCTGGACCTTTATCAGGGGAGGGCCTCTATTTGGGATTTGGGGTTGCCTGCTATGCACAGTTGGTTATTTGGGCATCTGCAAGGCTGGATGTCCAACAAGGCAACATGGGGAACTGGCCCAGGGCCTCAGACCTTCAAGGGCCCCAAAGGTTTCAGGTTTTTGTGGTCATTTGATTAACTGTAAATATGTTTGGCAATACATTTTACACTTTATCTGCTAAAAGTACAATGTAAACTGAAATGGCAGGGGCCTTAAGGTGCCCGTGAGTTAAAATCTGGTCAAGCTTTGGTTGTTTCAATTAATCTTATGTTACAAGGTGCATATAAATAAATGTGTCCTTCAGCAAGTTACAACAAAATAATTACATCTATTAATTACTAATACTAACTTGTAATGCAAAGACTGTGTCTAAAACAGATATCATTAAGGACACACAGCTAAGTTTTTTTTGCCCTGGGGCACCTTGCAGGGTTAAGTTGGCCCTCATTAATTCTATAAAATATATATTCTTTAACTTGAATTGAGTGTCCATGTCACTATTTTTACCAGTTAGAGTAAGTACACACATGTAAAGTACTGCTGAGCTTTGCACCTAAACTGATATTGGTTAATGAGGCCTTTATTGTGGAAAGCCCTAACCGGAAGCTTCATGTTATGTATGAATTGTGACTTTGCACCGGTCCAACCCTACAGGAGGAGTGAGAAGCGACAGATAGGCGTCCCGCCGACTACATTTAGACATTATTTAACTTTGTCGGGACCACCCAGCTGCTGTTTGGACCTGTTTTATTTCCACCATGACACCGTTAACTGTCCGCCATCGTCACCGTGAACGCGTTTTAACGTCTGGGGAGCGGAAGTGAGAGAAGGGGAAGTTGTTTGGGGATAGAGGAAAAATAAACCCCTCAAAGAAGAGATTTTCTTCTGTCAAGTTCAAGCCAAATTTCGCCTTTCTGGAGGACGGGGGACCCTGGAGTTTTTGTGGGCATGGACACCCACGTCAAGGAGGGACAACTTTATGTGCAGCATCAAAAGTTTGGAAAGGTAAGTCCAGGGGAAAAAAACCTGTTATTTTGGTGGTACGGTTGTGGCGTTGACAGAAATGACCCTTACAAAAAATAACTGTAGTCAGTGACCCCATAATAAATGTTTTGTAGATGCTATAGTTATAAAATTAAAACTATAAGACAGCATAGAATTATAACAGCAATTTCTTAAACCAGTAGTATACGAGGAACTGAGATATTCCACGAAGCTCTGTAAGGTCAATAAAAACTAGTTAAAATACTTCTCAGACATACAAAAGCTCTCTGTAGGAGAATTAGAGAAATACTACAGGAAACTATCTACAGCAAGTACATAAAGTCATTTAAAAGTCACTGATGTCCATCATAAACAGTTTAAATCCTTGTAGTAAAGTGTAAAAGTGATGTACAAGGTGGCAGAATTAAAGCGTATCATCAGGAACATTATAGAAATGTTTAAGTACCATATGAGACAAATTAAACATGTTAATGTCAGTTTAGGTAAAGATACAAATCCCCATAATAGTATTATCCGTAGGTATTTTATGAAATGTTTTATTCAGAGAGATGGAAGTGTCACATTAAGTCTTGAAAACGTATTGAAGTCACTGACAATCTCCTACTCCCAGTTGTAAGCCAGAGAAGAGCATTTAACGTCACTCACAACAATTAAATAGAACACATATTGGTACAATTACAGACCAGTCACTGTGCCCAGTGTCTTCAAAGGAAAACCTAATGTAGATGTAGATGTAATGAGAGGAAGTTATCGTGAGTGTTTTACTGATCTGCCCTTGTTTTGATGTGGTGGTTTGGAGTAAACCTGCAGTGCATCTGTACGCGTGTGTGTGTGTGTGAGTGAGTGTGCATGTGAATGTGCTCATGAGCTGGTAAAACCCTGGTGAGCTGGTAAACTTCAGTATATGTAAAAACATTCAAAACCAAAGTGGACTAAAGCAGTTTTTGAGAGTAAATGAGGACACGGAGATGGAGAGGATAGGTTTGAGAGTGATTGTTGATTGTGTGTGTGCGTGTGTGTGTGAGCTAGTGACACTTCACTTCATCAGAGTAGCTAACAGAGCTGCATGATGAAAGCTGTAATATTTTTATCACTGTTGCAAGATGACTTTCCATAACAAACACAACAAAAGGCTGCAAAATCAGACCAGCAGAGACTCTTAGAGCTGGAAAGTTGAGACAGATCTTGTTCACAGAGGTGACAGACATGTTTCCACTTCATCTCAGCTGCATATGCTACTGTTCATCATTGCAAACGCTGTCAACAAGCCACCTTTATGTCATCTCTGACTCTATGTGATCACTCATTTGAGTGTATTTATCACATGGGCAGGACTGGACACTGGTAGATGACAGTGATAACACCTGTGTGTGTGTTTTATGTCAGTCCTTAGCCTCCATGCAACCTTGCCTTTAGTTTCAGAGCACTGCGGAATAAGAACTCATTTACTCTTTCAGATTTGTAAAGGGGGTCTTTGTCTCTCCGTCTCTATCTGGTCATATGACATGGACCAACAAAACTTTCTGGCCCTACTTCCTGCCCTGAAATCACCACTCCACAATAGATATTCATACTCCCCAAACCCACTTTCAATGCCTTTTATAAACTGTTTACAATAGAAAAAGAACAAACAAAACCTCCACATTTGTAAAAATAATGTTATCTTTGCACAAGGGAAATAAAGGCGCCCAGACGTGGATGAAAACATATCAGAGTAGAAAATGAATAGAACAGGAAGCTGAGTGTTGGCTGATCTGTAGTGTTGAAACTGGTGTGAGGTTAGCATGGTGAATTATGCAATCGTTAGCGCTGTCAGTGGACATACACATTCACACATTAGATTCGTTCCCATGTGCATGTTCGGAAAATGTGACTCAAGAGCGCAGCAGCAACATCCGACCAAGGATTCTGTTTCTGTTTGTAGCTGCTGTTTTACAACATGTCAAGTAATGGCCATTACAGAGTTATTACAACAGGCTGTGAAGAAGTAAACTACCAAGCTGCATCTGTGTCTACAGTCCATACAAGAAGTTATTAAACTATCTCTATGAGAGCTGACATGATTAATAAATTAAATTTAGTTCATCATCAATTGTGTTAACTTTTTTGTTATGCTCCTGTTTGGAAGCTCTCAGCCCAGTTTGGGAAACACTGTATGAGGTGATTGACATAAGAATCAACTGACAACAATTTGAAAAATGATTAAAACTGTCCAGCATTTCTATGTTCCAGCTTCTACAATGTGCAGATTTGTAGTATTTTATCTCATATCACTATAAACTGAATCCCTTTGTTTTTTAAAGTCAGTTCAAATAAAGCAAGATTTTAGGAGATGATGGTGATAACGAGCAGAGTGTTAACAGGAAATGAAGAGAGAGGTGACTTTCAGACCTTTAGGCAACCAGTGCACCCCAAACAATCACAGTAGCCATTAGATGCAGCCTTAGCCTGTATCTGCACTAAGTAATTACACTATAATCACAGTTTGCACACTAATATATTCATTGCAAATAGTCATTAATTAAAAAATAGATTAAAGTTTTAAAAAAAGGTTAAAGTCTATGCAGCAGAGAGAGACATCCTGACTGGTCCAAAAGCACTGGATCCCACATTTCCCATAATGCAACTCCACATCGTCTTCGGTCAGACTAAATGTCCACTTCTTTCAAACTCCACGCGTTAATTTTGTATCGCAGGTTATCTGTTGAAAATGAAAATGACGACAACCCTGATGATGCCGTCTTAAAAACACCGTCAGAGTCGTGTAAGACGTCATAATTCTGCTCGAACAGGCTGTGAGTGATTCTCCTCGTCACGAGTAAACTGAACTTCATGTGCCAAATTGGTGAGGTGCACCTTTAATCTGAGAAAGTTGAAAAGTTAGAAGCAGTTTCACCAAGGTGTCCCAGACTCCTCTCAAACACTCCTGCAGGACACAGACCAAAACATATTTGCTTCCTCCTGCGATGTTTGACGCACACTACATTACAAAGGTATTCACAACATCCGAAAGCATGACTGTCTCAATCACAATCACATCTGAACATTGTTGATGTGTAAAGCATGACAAATATTTGGGCTGATGTGGATGCTGGGCTGCTTTCTAAACTGCAGTGGAGATGTTTAAGAAAGCATTAAACGTGGTGATATACTGTGATAAAGCTAGAAGAAAGAGTCCTACACTTTCTGCTGGTGTAATTAGTTTTGACATCTGCAGCTACCGTTTGATTTCATCTTGTGGCTAAAACATGCGCAGCAGAGAGATTGTGCGAGATTTAGAGCAAAAACATCTGTCTGTATGTGCATCTGCTTGCCTGCCACACATATTCAGATGCAAGATGCTTGAACCAGCAGTTTACAGTTCACCTGCACCCTGCAGAAACAAAAAGCCTCTAGCCAGGTGTTGATGTTGCCACTGGCTCTGTGTGGTGAAGGTACTGCAGACGATCCCTCATCAGCACTTAAGACACCTTCAGCTGGGACTTAACCAGACGGGGTGTGTCAGGATAAAGAAGTATTACACTCCCTGAGGCTGCTAGATTTACACCACAGTGTTTCATGTCTAAATTAATAATTGCCTAATGGATTAATGGGATTGGGTGTCAGAGCTTCTTTTCTTTTCATCTCTTCAAAACAGACAGTGTCTCAGATGCTGAGTCATATTTCTCTGAAAAGAACTACCACATCATTTGTAGTATGAAGAACTCACTATTTATGAAGAAGATACTACACATAGGAAAGTGTCTAATTCTCTATATATACTCTGCAGTCGATGTGTTTCCAGGAAGAATGGTATATTGGATATTATACTACTATAATATTATACTATTACTATAATAACAAGCATTCATTTTCAGTTGTAGTGTTGTGTCCATAGCCACACTGTATTGACCTTTTCCCCTCATGTGAGTCACTAGTTAATCTAACTTTGCACATTACTTTATTCACAATAATTGCCATCTACTTGTAATTGCACCAATATGTGATCTGTTAAGACGACACAGTCGCTGTGGCCTGAATACATGGGTATAGTTTCTGTGGTGTTGATGATATAATTCCAGAGAAACAAAGAAAAAGAAGTCAACTGGAGAATTGACGCTGTAACAGAGGCGGTTTTACAGTAAGACTAGTGGTGCACACAGAGAACAATCAATCCTATTGTGAGCATGTCTTTATAGACCATAGGGTGATTTTCTGCTGTTGCATGATCAACGGATAATGAAGCATTTAATATTTTCACAAGCGAGTCTGTCTGATCTCAGTGCAGGGTTGGTCCCTCTCCTCTAAGTCAGTGCAGACATTAGAACATTTCAATACTGTTGGTTATCATTTAGATTCTATTGATTGTGTTTCCCATACTGCTTATCATTTCCTGTTCTTATCAAGCCTGATTTTCATTTTCCATTATTCAAGCGAGAAAAGAAACAAACATATGTTGTAAGCAAAACGTCCACCCCTTTCAGCAGATTGTCATAAAAATCCAATTAAATTATGAATATTATACTGAATTAATGATTTAATGTTTTCTGTTTCACACCATTTTTTTTTTTTTTTACTCGAGTTGGATATGACTTTCTCCATTACATTCAATTATTTTTAGACAGTGGTTACATTTTGCTGTATGATGACTTGACAAGCTTACCCACATCTATGAGTGCTAGCTGTTGTGAGCAGTACTGTGAACACTACACAGTACGTGTTGACTATTTGCATGTGGAAATGCAGATAAATATGATGTGGGTGAATTCATCCTTCAAACTCAAAGATAATTAAGATGCATTACAATCTATATATTTAACATAAAGGACAGTAGAGCAAGCTCTTTAGTGCAATGAGAACAACTTTCTCTAGCCTTTGTTCCAGGTAGAGCTGAAATGAGTTGATCAACAGAAAACGAGTTGGCAACAAATTTGATGATGATTAATGATAACTAATCACTGGTTCCTGGTTCCTGCTTGTTGTTTTTTCACTCCTCTAAACCAAGTATCCGTGGGGTTTCG